AAATTTTGAATTGTGCCCAGAAAAGTAAATAGAGGGGAAATCTTCCAATGGGGACACTAGCGAGAAAAGTAATAGAGGAGAAATCTTCCAATGGGGACACTAGCCAGAAAAGTAATAGAGGAGAAATCTTCCAATGGGGACACTAGCCAGAAAAGTAATAGAGGAGAAATCTTCCAATGGGGACACTAGCCAGAAAAGTAATAGAGGAGAAATCTTCCAATGGGGACACTAGCCAGAAAAGTAATAGAGGGGAAATCTTCCAATGGGGACACTAGCCAGAAAAGTAATAGAGAGGAAATCTTCCAATGGGGACACTAGCCAGAAAAGTAATAGAGGAGAAATCTTCCAATGGGGACACTAGCCAGAAAAGTAATAGAGAGGAACTCTTCCAATGGGGACACTAGCCAGAAAAGTAATAGAGGAGAAATCTTCCAATGGGGACACTAGCCAGAAAAAATAGAGAAATCTTCCAATGGGGACACTAGCCAGAAAAGTAATAGAGGGGAAATCTTCCAATGGGGACACTAGCCAGAAAATTAATAGAGGAGAAATCTTCCAATGGGGACACTAGCCAGAAAATAGAGAAATCTTCCAATGGGGACACTAGCCAGAAAAGTAATAGAGGGGAAATCTTCCAATGGGGACACTAGCCAGAAAAGTAATAGAGGGGAAATCTTCCAATGGGGACACTAGCCAGAAAAGTAATAGAGAGGAAATCTTCCAATGGGGACACTAGCCAGAAAAGTAATAGAGGAGAAATCTTCCAATGGGGACACTAGCCAGAAAAGTAATAGAGAGGAAATCTTCCAATGGGGACACTAGCCAGAAAAGTAATAGAGGAGAAATCTTCCAATGGGGACACTAGCCAGAAAAAATAGAGAAATCTTCCAATGGGGACACTAGCCAGAAAAGTAATAGAGGGGAAATCTTCCAATGGGGACACTAGCCAGAAAAGTAATAGAGGGGAAATCTTCCAATGGGGACACTAGCCAGAAAAAATAGAGAAATCTTCCAATGGGGACACTAGCCAGAAAAGTAATAGAGGGGAAATCTTTCAATGGGGACACTAGCCAGAAAATTGAGGAGAAATCTTCCAATGGGGACACTAGCCAGAAAAAGTAATAGAGGAGAAATCTTCCAATGGGGACACTAGCCAGAAAAGTAATAGAGAGGAAATCTTCCAATGGGGACACTAGCCAGAAAAGTAATAGAGGGGAAATCTTCCAATGGGGACACTAGCCAGAAAAGTAATAGAGGAGAAATCTTCCAATGGGGACACTAGCCAGAAAAGTAAAAGAGAGGAAATCTTCCAATGGGGACACTAGCCAGAAAAGTAATACAGAGGAAATCTTCCAATGGGGACCCTAGCCAGAAAAGTAATAGAGGGGAAATCTTCCAATGGGGACACTAGCCAGAAAAGTAATAGAGAAGAAATCTTCCAATGGGGACACTAGCCAGAAAAGTAATAGAGGAGAAATCTTCCAATGGGGACACTAGCCAGAAAAGTAATACAGAGGAACTCTTCCAATGGGGACACTAGCCAGAAAAGTAATAGAGGAGAAATCTTCCAATGGGGACACTAGCCAGAAAAGTAATAGAGGAGAAATCTTCCAATGGGGACACTAGCCAGAAAAGTAATAGAGGGGAAATTTCCAATGGGGACACTAGCCAGAAAAGTAATAGAGGAGAAATCTTCCAATGGGGACACTAGCCAGAAAATAATAGAGAGGAAATCTTCCAATGGGGACACTAGCCAGAAAAGTAATAGAGGGAAATCTTCCAATGGGGACACTAGCCAGAAAATAGAGGAGAAATCTTCCAATGGGGACACTAGCCAGAAAAGTAATAGAGGAGAAATCTTCCAATGGGGACACTAGCCAGAAAAGTAATAGAGAGGAAATCTTCCAATGGGGACACTAGCCAGAAAAGTAATAGAGAGGAAATAATCCAATGGGGACACTAGCCAGAAAAGTAATAGAGAGAGGAAATCTTCCAATGGGGACACTAGCCAGAAAAGTAATAGAGGAGAAATCTTCCAATGGGGACACTAGCCAGAAAAGTAATAGAGGGGAAATCTTCCAATGGGGACACTAGCCAGAAAAGTAATAGAGGAGAAATCTTCCAATGGGGACACTAGCCAGAAAAGTAATAGAGAGGAAATCTTCCAATGGGGACACTAGCCAGAAAAGTAATAGAGGGAAATCTTCCAATGGGGACACTAGCCAGAAAAGTAATAGAGAGGAAATCTTCCAATGGGGACACTAGCCAGAAAAGTAATAGAGGAGAAATCTTCCAATGGGGACACTAGCCAGAAAAGTAATAGAGAGGAAATCTTCCAATGGGGACACTAGCCAGAAAAGTAATAGAGAGGAAATCTTCCAATGGGGACACTAGCCAGAAAAGTAATAGAGGGAAATCTTCCAATGGGAACACTAGCCAGAAAAGTAATAGAGAGGAAATCTTCCAATGGGGACACTAGCAGAAAAGTAATAGAGGGAAATCTTCCAATGGGGACACTAGCCAGAAAAGTAATAGAGGAGGAAATCTTCCAATGGGGACACTAGCCAGAAAAGTAATAGAGAGGAAATCTTCCAATGGGGACACTAGCCAGAAAAGTAATAGAGAGGAAATCTTCCAATGGGGACACTAGCCAGAAAAGTAATAGAGGGGAAATCTTCCAATGGGGACACTAGCCAGAAAAGTAATAGAGGGGAAATCTTCCAATGGGGACACTAGCCAGAAAAGTAATAGAGGGGAAATCTTCCAATGGGGACACTAGCCAGAAAAGTAATAGAGGGGAAATCTTCCAATGGGGACACTAGCCAGAAAAGTAATAGAGGGAAATCTTCCAATGGGGACACTAGCCAGAAAAGTAATAGAGAGGAAATCTTCCAATGGGGACACTAGCCAGAAAAGTAATAGAGGAGAAATCTTCCAATGGGAACACTAGCCAGAAAATAAATAGAGGGGAAATCTTCCAATGGGAACACTAGCCAGAAAAGTAATAGAAGGGAAATCTTCAAATGGGGACACTAGTTCTGGAGAACTGGGGATCCTCAAGAGATTACCTTAAAGCAGGGGTCTCCAAACTATGGCCCTCGAACTGTTGAAGTACTACAAGTCCCATCATGCTCCTGTGAGTCTTGTCTGTGGCTGTCAGGAGTCTTTTAAGGCCTCATGGGACTTACAGTTCCTCAACACCTTGAGGGCCATAGTTTGGAGACCCCTGCCTTAAAGTGTTACTAAACCCACAGCAGTAAAATCAGTCTGTGCAGTAAAGCATGCTTGTTATATTCTGTTATATTCATTGTGGAACCTAAGGGGTCAATCCTCCACATTGTGTAAAAAGGATGTTTGATCCTGTCTTCTCTGATCCTCCCCTTCTTCTAGTGTCTCCCAAATATCTCCTGATAGAACAGAGGCTAGGTGCAAGCTGTACATGCTCATTTGGTATGTATTGCTAGAATTTTTTTTCTTGGGAGAGTGCATGTGGTCAGTACAGGGCAAATCAGTGCTGTCCAGGGGGTTACAGGTTCTGCATCCTCCTAGAGCAAAATGAAAACATCCTACAAGCTTTAAGATGTGCTCTGCTGGACACTGACAGAAGTCACAAGACTGCTATATACTGCTGATGAGAAAAGGTATTTAGCACTTTATATTGACTAAAGTAATTGCATTTCCATGTCCTGTGTACTGTGGGAGACCAGGTATAGTGAATGCAGGGTCCTGGGTTTAGTAACACTTTAATTTGCAGGTATTCCTCTCACTTCCTGGCTGGCTATGGGACAGGAAGAGAAGGTAATATTGCCCAATGGGACAAAGAGGGCAAAAATTAACCTTACAGGGGTTATAACCCTCCATTATGCTATCCAAAATGGGAAAAAAAAGTTTTGCCTATAGTTCCACTTTAATGGCAAACTCATGGCATGCATACACAAATGGATCATTTGCACTTGTTTGCTGTGGGCTACTGCACTACATGATACAAATTCCTCTTCACCTTCTCTAGTAGAGGCCTTTTTATTATAGCTTTAACACTGAAATCTAATAAAACATTTTTGGGGGAGACAGCACCAACCACATCAATTACCTCGTGTCCTGTTGGCTGCTGCTAACTTGACAAATCCTCCCTTTAGTGAAGTGCTATACTTTCAGTGCTGCAGTAGCTGCAAAGGTGAAGGACCCAAGTCGTTTGCCCTCCCCTTGTCCAATCACTAAACTTCTTGTATTATTTTCCCAAAATACAGGATGTTCTGTGAATAGATGAAGTGAGAGAAGGATTGGAGGAATGACGGGATCTCTCCTCGTCCACTAACAGAACTCCCTGAATTCGGGAAAACAAAGCAAGGAGTTGTACAAATGGTTGAGAGGAAAGGTAGGGGGGGTGGCTAATGGCGGGGCCCTTAACTCTTACAACGGCAACTCTTTTTTTTGCATGAAGTGCCTGAGGTATAGGTATCCTATAGGTAGGATCCAGCTTCAAAGAAGAGAAGAGTTTTGTATCTAAACAACCCAAAACCAAAACATGTAACATATCACAGCTTACTGGTCTTTGGTGGAGTGGCTGCATTCATTTTCTTTTTGTTGTGCTTTTGTTTTCTTCTGATAATCCTGCAAATAACACACTTTCTATTCCTGAGTGGCTATATCACTCCTCCACAGTATCTATGGAGGGAGCCATGGTTGTCATCCTAGGCTGGCTTGATATGGAATCCAAACATGTCTGTGTCTCTTCATTCTCATTACACGGGGAGGGGGGGTCGTTAAGACAGCTAGGAAGATAGTTAGGAAGTGACAAGGAGAAGAACACAGCATTTCCGGCAAGATCAACAGGTATTCTCTGTGCTAACAAATGTTCTTTGCTTAAAAATAGAAAATGAAGTCAGAAGGCACATTTAAGGACTGTGCTGGATACACTTCATTACAGGTAAAGTGACTGGGACTTTATTTTCACTAGTTTTCAGCCTTTAAGTTATCAGAAAAATGATCTTTGTGAAATATTAACTTTCTAAAACTAACTTGGAGTCTTCTATTTTTCTCATCACTCCTTTGCTGGACAGGGTGAGCTCAGCATGACGACGCTTCAGGCCCTCCAGTTTCTGGCGAAGCTCCTCAGTGGCATCAACCTTCTCCTCAAAGTCTCTAAGTAAGGTCTTGTTACCAAGCAGCCCACATTTTTGTTTGAGTTTCAGGTTGTCCATCCTCAAGCTGTCTCTGGCCTGCTTCGTTCTGGTTAGAATGTCTCTTTTGTGAGCCACCAAGGCCTCAATTTCCATGAGCCTGTCTTTCTGTTCTTGGTTTTCGGTCTGCACAAACTGTAGCTTCTCTTTCAGGTGAGTCAGCACTTGCACAGTGTTAGTAATCTTTTTTCTTAGTTTGAGAAGCTCCTCATTTCTCTCCTCGATCTTCTCATTGTAGGTCTGGTTTTCGATTTTAAGCTGCTCAAAGTCTATGAGGTGCAAACCTTCAGCTAGCTCCTCTTTGGAGCGCAAGGTGGACTCATGGTGATTTATCTGGTTTTTGAGTTTGATGTTCTCCAGGCGGACCTGTATTACTTCCTTCTCCTTGCGCTCTTCCTTGGCTTGGAGTTGTACTGCTTCTTGAGAAAAAGAAGATGCAGCATGCTTTCCAGCACCTCGGTTAACGACATATAGAGCGATCTTCTTCTTCTGCTCTTGGAAAGTAGCCCACTCTTTGTCCACTTGACTTACAACTTCCTGACACTGGACTCTTAGCTCTTCAATCTGCTGCTCGTGCTGGACGGTGTCTTCTTTGAACTTCTTCCTCATCTCCTCCATTGTAGCCAGGAACTTCAGGTAGCGCTGTTCTTGGTCTGAGACGTGCTTCTCAATCTCGGGCCGAGTGTCTTCTCCTTTCTTGCGTCGGAAGTACTCATAGAGTTTGTGTTGGAGCTGAGAGTTCTGCTGCTGGACCTTTTCCTTTTCTGAAAGCAGTGCATGGTACTGGTGGATAAGAGCTTCCCGGACCTCTTCATCTTCATTTGGGTCATCTGAACTATATTGGGGTTCAGCGTCTTGCCCCCATTGTTTGTGCTCTTCTTGGAGTTTAGGTTCTTCATTCTCCCGGGCTTCTTGGGTGTTGTCCTGCCCCTCAGGGGGCTCACTAGGCGTTTCCTGATATCTAGCTGTGCCTGGACTCTCAAGGTCTGCACCATCAGTCACCTTCAGCTCCTCCTCCTCAGCGGTTGTGTCAAGTTTAGCAATTTCCAATTCTTCCGATGAGGTATTCTCCTGATCAATGGTAGACTTTCCCTCCTCCACCCCTTCCTCTGCTCCCATTGACTCCCTGGAGACAGGTTCTTTTGCCATTTCTGGATCAGTGGTACCAGGCTCTCCAGTAGTCACATCAGTAGCATCACCTTCCTGATTGGAGGTCTGTTCTAGGGCAGTCTCCAGATTGGCGGTACCAGGCTCCCCAGCAGTTACGTCAATGGTGTCACCTTCCTGATTGGCGGTTTGGTTTCCTGTGGTGCCAGGCTCTCCAGCAGTCACTTCAAAGGTGTCGCCCTCCTGACTGGCAGTGTCAGGCACTCTAACAGTCACATCAACTGAGCCACTCTCCCCATTGGTGGTTCCAGGCTCTCCGACAGTCACGTCGACTGAGCCACTCTCCCCATTGGTGGTTCCAGGCTCTCCAACAGTCATGTCAACTGAGCCACTCTCCCAATTGGTGGTTCCAGGCTCTCCAACAGTCATGTCAACTGAGCCACTCTCCTGATTGGTGGTGCCAGGCTCTCCGACAGTCCCATCAACTGAGCCACTCTCCCCATTGGTGGTGCCAGGCTCTCCAACAGTCCCATTAATGGAGCCACGCTCCTGATTGGTGGTGCCAGGCTCTCCGACAGTCCCATTAATATAGCCAATCTCCTGATTGGTGGAAGCACGCTCCTGATTGGTGGTGCCAGGCTCTCCGACAGTCCCATTAATAGAGCTAAATGTCAGGCTGTCTTGGAGTCTCCTCACTGCTGTCATGTCCTCTGTCAGTCTCTTGGTCAATGGTACCATGCTCTCTGTTAGCCTCCCGACCGGTAACAGCCGCTGGCCCATTTCTCTCCTCTCCGGTACCGGACTCTGGAGTCTGCATAGCTTTCCTTCAAAGCTCACCACGTCTGTATCAAGGCGTCTGTGGGGTCTCCATGGAGACGGCGGGCGGCACCAGCAAAGCCGACGATTGCCGTCACCCCGCCTCCCCTCCAATCGCATGACGGCCGCGCGACCCCAGCCTATCATACACCGAGACGGCGCGCTCCCGCCTCGGACGCATGCGCAGCCGAGGGCGCGCTGGGCGGGGTTTCGTGGGATCCGAGCTTCCCAACAACAGCAGCTCCAGCGGCCCAAAATGGCGGACCTGGGCAAGAAGTACTGCGTCTACTGCCTGGCCGACGTGACCAACCTGCGCCTCCGCTGCACGGAATGCCAGGACATCGAGCTGTGCACCGAGTGCTTCTCGGCGGGCGCGGAGATCGGCAACCACCGGCGGTGGCACGGGTACCAGCTGGTGGACGGCGGCCGATTCACGCTATGGGGCCCTGAGGCGGAGGGGGGCTGGACGAGCAGGGAAGAGCAGCTGCTGCTCGATGCCATCGAACAGTTCGGTTTCGGCAATTGGGTGAGCTCGTAGTGCTGAGGGGGGAAGGAAGGGACTGCAATTCCCAGCATGCCTTGCGGCCGGGGGGAGGGGCAGTCAGGAAAGGGACACCTATGGGGCTGAAATAGAAACTGCCTGTTGTGCCTTTTGGCTTTTTGCTACAATAGTGCCTAGAACCCCCAAACATCATATATTTTCTGAAAGCAGAGGCCATGGACAATACAATGGTGGTTGTTGTAAGGTATTCAGCCTTTTACAAACAAATACAGTTCCATGAATGTCAGCGCACAGTAATGCAATATAATACCCAATGTTCTAAAATATTGTAACATCAAACTTGCCAGGATGTAAAATGGCGCATCCGTGTGTAAGGGCGACACGCTGCAGTACCTACAATTGCCCATAGGTGACACTTCACAGCTTTCCCAGGTTACCAGTCTAGAGGTAAACCTGCGCTTTGGCCCGGCCATTGTTGCTCTCACTTTGACGTTCTTAGCAATACCGCACATGCGTGGTGCAGTCGCTGTTTACATGTGTGCGGAACCTTTGCATTTGCACATGGGGGGGGGTGCTTTTAATCACGTGTCGACAACCAACAGCAAATTTAATGCTGGCAGGGGGCTCCCCCAGGCACCCCCACGTGCCAGCACTGCCCCTGGTGCAATGTTCAACCACTGTGTCCAGTTCGTTGTCTTGCTCGGTAGCGGGCCTCTGTGAGCGGCCAAGATACCATGTGATCGCTGTGCAGTCATATCGTAAACAATAGTTATGAATGGAATTCATTCATGACATGGTTGATTACTACTATGTGATCTGTGATTGGTCACCAACGATCACATTACCTGGGCCAGTCATAGCACCATTTACCATGTGATAGCAGTGGCCAATTACAGCTACCCTTTACCACGTGATAGCCGTGGGGCAATCACAGCTACCCTTTACCACGTGATAGCCGTGGGGCAATCACAGCTACCCTTTACCACGTGATAGCCGTGGGGCAATCACAGCTACCCTTTACCACGTGATAGCCGTGGGGCAATCACAGCTACCCTTTACCACGTGATAGCCGTGGGGCAATCACAGCTACCCTTTACCACGTGATAGCCGTGGGGCAATCACAGCTACCCTTTACCACGTGATAGCCGTGGGGCAATCACAGCTACCCTTTACCACGTGATAGCCGTGGGGCAATCACAGCTACCCTTTACCACGTGATAGCCGTGGGGCAATCACAGCTACCCTTTACCAAGTGATAGCCGTGGGGCAATCACAGCTACCCTTTACCAAGTGATAGCCGTGGGGCAATCACAGCCACCCTTTTTACCACGTGATAGCCGTGGGGCAATCACAGCCACCCTTTTTACACACGTGATAGCCGTGGGGCAATCACAGCCACCCTTTTTACCACGTGATAGCCGTGGGGCAATCACAGCCACCCTTTTTACCACGTGATAGCCGTGGGGCAATCACAGCCACCCTTTTTACCACGTGATAGCCGTGGGGCAATCACAGCCACCCTTTTTACCACGTGATAGCCGTGGGGCAATCACAGCCACCCTTTTTACCACGTGATAGCCGTGGGGCAATCACAGCCACCCTTTTTACCACGTGATAGCCGTGGGGCAATCACAGCCACCCTTTTTACCACGTGATAGCCGTGGGGCAATCACAGCCACCCTTTTTACCACGTGATAGCCGTGGGGCAATCACAGCCACCCTTTTTACCACGTGATAGCCGTGGGGCAATCACAGCCACCCTTTTTACCACGTGATAGCCGTATGGCAATCACAGCCACCCTTTTTACCACGTGATAGCCGTGGGGCAATCACAGCCACCCTTTTTACCACGTGATAGCCGTGGGGCAATCACAGCCACCCTTTTTACCACGTGATAGCCGTGGGACAATCACAGCCACCCTTTTTACCACGTGATAGCCGTGGGACAATCACAGCCACCCTTTTTACCACGTGATAGCTGTGGGCCAATCACAGCATCACAATAGTAATGACTCGTGTATGAAAACCATTCATGACAGTTCAAACAATTGCTGTTGCAGTGATCATCATTGTAACAAGCAAACAAAAAATAAAATCCCTGATCCACCCCCCCTCCTGCCTTCCCCAATGTGGTACTATCCTGATGACAGGTTTTTTTTTTTTTTTTTTACACAATTACAAAATTGATTTAATTAAAAAAAATATATTTTTTTTTTACATACTGTCGCCAGTCAGTATTTTCTGAAAGGCATAGTGAGTCTTTTGAAAATAGAATTTTTTGCCAAATGTTTTTTGGAAAATGCAGGAAAGAAAATGAAAATATATACATATACATACATGTCGATTTAATAAGCAATTTCTAACACAAAGCATAGACATACTTAGTATTACACCCCAAAATACTTTTTGCTATGCCTCCTGAGCATGGGCATATCACATGTGTGAGACTTTTTACTGCTCAACCACACTGAGGGGCTCAGAATCCAAGTAGCACCTTCAGGCTTTTTAGTGGCATAAATTACACATCAAATGAACAAATGTCTTTACCATGTGATAGCTGTGGGCCAATCACAGCATCACAATGGTAAACCATGAGTCATGTATGAAAACCATTCATGACAGTTCAAACAATTGCTGTTGCAGTGATCATTCTAACAAGCAAACATAAAGCAAAATCCCTGATTTTCCCCCCTTCCCCAAAGTGGTACTACCCTGATGACCGCGTGTGTGTAAAAAAAAAAAAAAAAAAAAAAAAAATTTACAAAATTGATTTTAAAAAAAAAAAAACGTTATTTTTACATACTGTCACCAGTCATTTTCTGAAAGGCATAGTGAGTCTTATGAAAATATCATTTTTTTTGCCAACTGTTTTTTGGAAAATGCAGGAAAGAAAATGAAAATGTGATATGTTTACTCAAAGTTGCCGATTAATAAGCTATTTCTAACACAGAGTATAGACATACTTAGTATTACACCCCAAAATATATTCTGTTCTACCTCCTGAGCATGGGCATACCACATGTGTGAGACTTTTTATTGCCCAACCACACTGAGGGGCTCAAAATCAAAGTAGTACCTTCAGGCTTTCTAGGGGCATAAATTACACATCAAATGTCCTGAGTATAACATTTTTGCAGGCCCTGGAGCACCAAGCCAGTGCAAACACCAACAAAATGACAACGTTTTGAAACGCAAACAACCGAACATATTTTTTAAGAGGCATGTTGAATCTTTTGAAGACTTAATTTTTTTGCCAAATATTTTTTGAAAATGCAGGAAGAAGATGAAAATAATTTTTTTCACAAAGTTGTCAATTTAATAAGATATATGTCACATACAGCATGGGTATACCTAGAATTACAACCCAAAACACATTCTTCTACTCCTTCCCAATATGGCAATCCCACATGTGTGAGACTTTCAGTGTCTGGACTGATTATGTACTGGATGTTGTATCTTGTGTATCACACACATCAACCAATTGTATCAAAACCAATGTACTGTAACGATGGCCTCCTGTGAGAATGGTTAGGGAATATAGGTTAGTGTAGTGTCCTTGTTCCTAAAAGCCAAGCATGCCTAGCCTACTATTTGGCTGCCCCCAGGAATGCCATATTCACTGACCGGGCAGTACAGGCAGCTGAAAAAAGGAAGAACAAGAGTTCCTGAGGTTTCAGGAGAGCAGTTTTCTGCA